TTGCATCAAGCAGCTCAGTGTAAGTCTTTCTCCAATACGTGGTTTCTGCAAGTAAGCAAAATTATGGTTTGCGCTAGCTGAACTATGTCCTTTCATCTTGACTGCACACACTGACTTTAGAACGACTGTTTTAATGTCTGTGTGAATATTTATAGAGAAACAACTTCCAGCCAATAGCAAAAACAACATTTTTCGGTAGTAAGTTACATGAAAGTACTCTTCGAGAAAATGTATTACTAGAAATCCTTAAAATATTTGCCAACTTTTCTTTGTAATCATCTTGTGATTTGTTGGTGTTAAACGTTTACCACTTTTTCATTCATATGACTAGCCGCTTATTTTATTCACTTATATATTACACTATGCATTACTTGTATAAAATGTTGTGCAACTGCATTTTTACCTTTTTAGCCTGGGAAGACTTTCAGACAGATCCTGTCATCATAAGACGAGGTAAGATTATGAACTGTGAATGTCACTCACTAGTAGTTAATGAGGAATGTGAAAACTGACTCAAACATCTCAATCATTTTAATAATGACATTTTTCTCATCAGAACATTGAATATTTTTTCACTGAATTATAACTGACATATATACTCACAATGCATCTATCGTCTTCACTGAAAACGACACATCCTTAAAACAGTAAATAGCGAAAGTTTACTTTCCAGTGGAGAATGCTGATTGTAATGCGACAACTAAATGCCAGTTTCTCTGTTTTGTCATCAGCAACATCTTTTAGGGAGTTAAGCTTGTTCACATTTTGGTTTCAGAGACCTGGAGTGATGTTTGGACCTGCTACCTATCTGTTGAACGACGTGCAATTAAATTATAGACACATAACAGCCAAAAAATTAGATCAAGAAGAAGTGATTGTGAATGTTGGGCGAAATAAAAGTTGTACAGTGTAATAAGGACAGGATAATGCTTCCTTTTTATAACACCACTATCCACGTGAAAATGTGGTTTATAAATATATTTTTCGTAGTTTCTTTGTCAATTGCCTTTGAATTTTGACAATGATATGCAGCCACTACCTTTTGACGAGGATGTCATAACCAGGTTCAGAGAAGAGAGACAGGCTTTCTTTCACTAATCTGAAATCAGTGTAGAGACCTACTGCATTCCACTCAGCTTAACGCGTGGAAAACATCCGGATTTTCAATACCAATGTGAAGTCAATGCTAGCAGAAGGTTCAGAGACTTGGCGTGTCACGAAAATCACTTCCAACATACTACAGACATCCAACAACAACTGCCTACACTCGATACTGAATATCAGATGGCCAGAACAATAAGAATAAGCAACAGGGAACTCACTCTGGCCTGGAAACGAACCAAACAAGAACCTACCACTTAACAAATATGCAGAAGAAAGTGGAGATGGATTAGATTGGGCACACACTGAGAAAGCCATTCGGAGACATCACGTGCCATGCCTCTCAGTGGAATCCAGAGGGGGAACGATGAGTTGGGCGTCCGAGGCAAGAGTGACGTGGAGGAGACCATGTGAGGAAGAAGTGAAAGCTTGTGGGCAGTCGTGGCACAAGGTTTTAAAGACTGCAGAGAACAGAGTGGAATGGGGGCGTGCTATTGAAGCCATTCATTCAAAATATTTTTTTCTCGTAATTGCTATATCAATATATTTTCGAACCGCATAAGACTTTATGATGAAGAAATATAACGGTCACTTTCCTTAAAGTGTATTTTAAAGTAATTTCAAATGCAGATATCCGGACAAACAAAAAATAACACAATGAGACACATTTGACACTGAATGATCCTGGTTACGATATCCAAGGGAAAACGTCATGTTTATTCCCACTTTTGTTTAAGACAGACAGGTTTCGACTCGCCCTTGCAAATTTGACGAAAAATGATAAAATTCAGGCAGTGACACATATCACCGAGAAATCTTCACAGGCCAGAAACAGATCCAATGGATTCACATTTCGAATTCACAGATTTTACGGATCACCTGTCTACAAGCTGAAAGAATCTTCCTAATGTGATAGTCACACTTCACTCCCTTCAAAGTACAAACTTTATTAATACACAAACAGAATAATGGACAAATATGCCTCTTTAGGGTGCGAGTCTTCAATTTCATTTGTAATTTGAGACAACTGTGAAGCAATAATGACCACCTATGTGCACCAGCACTCATGATCTTGGGTATTACTAAACGAAATGAGTCAAAAAAAAATGCTCAATTGACCTGGTTTCATTGCATTGTTTTAAAAATTAACACATTTCGACGAAAATTTCAGTTTCATTCATTTCCTCTCAACTTATTTTGCAGCTTATAAGACAGTAAACAAAAGACTTCGTAAGTACTCTTTCAATAAACTGCTATGTAAAATTTACTTTCGAGATACCATAAATGTGCAATAGTATGGAGTCGAACTATAAATCTCCCTGTCTAGATAAATTGTGATGTCATTTTCTGAAACTAAATGGTAATACTGAGAGTTGTTTGCAGAATGAAACCATCCTCTTTTAGTACACACAGACATAATTTACAGATATGAAGTTAAGTCCTCAGTGTGTTTCGTAAACAGACAGGCATTTGTACGGCATCGTAGAAAATAGTTTCGACGGCTGCCTTCAAAATGAACCCTAGTGACTTCAGTGAATACTTTTTTGGAGATAAATGATAGGAAATTATTCGAATTTAATACTTTAAAGCACTTATAACTAAATTATAGTAAACAAATGCCCTTGAGAACGCAAACAATTGAGTGGGAAACTAAACTCAGAATCATTTCATTTATTTTTGTGTTGAATTTTAATCCATGAATATATGTAGAAATGAATCACATGAAATTTGTTTGCAAATTCTCGTTTTGTAGCCAATTATTTAGGAAACTTAGAGTAGTTTTAGTTCATTGAGTACCAACACGTTGTAGTTCTCATCCAAAATCACTGCGTATTTGTCCTTGACAAGTCAGAAGAAATGATGCTTAGTTATGTTGCTTAAAGAAACAGATTTCATCACTTAATATTTTTGTGACAAGATCACTTATCCATGATTTAATAATCTTATGCAAACTATAGTGAACATGTTAGGCCTCACGTTGAACCACAAGCAATGAGTGCGCTAGTATTCATGTTAAGATATATACAAATATCGAATCCGAGTAGAACTAAGGAACTCGTATTAATTAGTTTTCCAGTCAGAGGCTTAGACATTACATATGCAGAGGATGAAGTTAAATTACTATAAATGTGCAATAGTATGGAGTTGAACTATAAATCTCCCTGTCTAGATAAATTGTGATGTCATATTCTCAAACTGAATGATAATACTGAGAGTTGTTTGCAGAATGAAACCATCCTCTTTTAGTACACACAGACATAATTTACAGATATGAAGTTAAGTCCTCAGTGTGTTTCGTAAACAGACAGGCATTTGTACGGCATCGTAGAAAATAGTTTCGACAGCTGCCTTCAAAATGAACCCTAGTGACTTCAGTGAATACTTTTTTGGAGATAAATGATAGGAAATAATTCCAATTCAATACTAAAAACTGATCAGTCTTCTATTATGTTGTCAACAAATTTTTTATCATGCATTGTCATGTGAGAAGCTTTACTTCACAGTAACCAACTTATCAAAACTTTGAGCTTCGATAAGTAAATACATCTTTATATCAGTCAGATCTCTGTAAAGTAAGAGGTGATGAAATAAGCATCAATGAATTATAAACAGTTGACCTTATGAGTTCTGGATATTGTTGGATATCATTTCAAGATCCTTCATCATCATCGTATTTGTTGACGCGTACTTTGGAATGCTTATATGATTATCAGAGTACAAAAGGTATTTGACACCTCTGAACAGCCAGTGTGTTTCATAAGTTTTGCATCTGCGTGTTATAATGCGTTAGAAAACCTGTAGAAATTGTCACAAAATCAATTCAGACAGGCAATCATTCAATCACATCCTTTTAAAGATTCTATAGTTGTCTCAAAATATCCCTTTTTAACATCATCTCATATTCTGGATACAAAATGCATATTACTCAATAATGTAAATCTTATCTTCTACCTTGACACTGACAGGTTTGCCAGGTGAAAAATCAAATGAAGGTGAACGTAAGTACTTGACTTTTCAAAATTTGAATAGCAGCTATAGAGGCAAAAGGAAGCTAATGAACCTTAAATAGGTCATATTGTTTCATTACTATTGAGAGACAATCGGCTTACTGAGACAAGCAGATATCATTTTAACGTTGACATTATTCCAATAAACTCTTTATTTTGGAATACACAAATACAGTTTCACAATGTACATTTCTAATTATCATTCACCGACCTATCTTAAACAGAGCACAAAATATTGCTCCACCTGATATCTTTAAAGCTCTTATAACCAAATTATAGTAAACAAATGCCCTTGAGAACGCAAACAATTGAGTGGGAAACTAAACTCAGAATCATTTCATTTATTTTTGTGTTGAATTTTAATCCATGAATATATGTAGAAATGAATCAC